AACCTGCCTTTTCCCACTTGGGCTTAAGTCCGTTTCAAGCTGCACGCCACACAGGTTCGTTGTTTTTCAGCCAGCTCCTACCGTCACCTGGAATCCCCGCTCCGCTCCCCCGGCCCAGCAAAGCTTACGGCCGTGAACTCAGGACAGAGAAGAGCCTTTGGCCCATCCGTGTCATTTACAAACAGCACAAGCTGGACTCGAGTCGCTGCGGCTGGATTTGGAAAAGCCTGAATATCGGTTCGTTACCAGCAGTGGGCTTGAAGTTAGGGTTTCTCAGATGCAGCAGCATCATAGTCCGTGGGTGCTTTTAGTTACGCAGGTTGTGGTGGGGTAAACGTGAGAGAGGAGTCACCGGAGAAGTCAGACAGGGGAATTACTCTTTGGCACTCCCTCCACGTCAGACAGAGTAACTCCTCTGTCAGGCGCAGGATGGGAAAGGCTCCTTGTACCGAGCACTCACGGTGTCAGGTCAGGCCGCCCGAGCAGGGCTGTGCACTGCGCTGCTCACCGCCTCCCAGCTCCTCCTCGGCAGCTCTCGGAGACTGAGGACAGGGCGAGCAGTACGTGGTGCAGATCAGCTCCGAGATGTGCACCGATTGAGCTTACAGCACCGGCAAGCCCTCTGCCCCGGGCGGGAGAGCCGCTGCGTGGGCAGGAGCGCTGCCGCCGGGGACCACCGCGTGCTGCCGGAGCCGTGCCGAAACGCTGGTGAGCAGGGCAGGGGGGAGTGCAGGAAGGACAATCCTGGTCAGACACTCCTAGAAGCTCGCGCAGCACGTTTCAGACCTGTTGGCACCAATGCTATCCTCTCTGATCCCTTCCCTTTGCTCTTGCCGTGGCCTCCCGGCTGGCAGGCGGGCCAGTCCGTCTGTCCGAGGAAACTTCTGGAAACCGAACAGCATCCATGCCCTAGCAGAGCCGCGCACACCCACTTCCGCTGCGCTCACAGGACTTCCTCAGGGTGCGCAGTAAGAAGCCTCCCCCTCCCACTGACAGAAAGGGTTAAAAGCCACTGACTCCGCTCCTTAACTGTTCATCTCCAGCCCCAGCCCTTCCCCAGCCAGGCTGCAGCAAGGCAGCTCCCCACCGCTGCCCACCTGCAGAACGCAAGGGAGGCTGATCAATTCTGTCCCTCGTGGTGACAGAAAGATAATTTGCTGCCCTTATCACTCCATGCTGCCTCAGGCCGGGCACGGGTTTGTTTCCCCTCCAACCAAATGGTTATAAATTGACATTGTTTGTGGGCTAGTACTTCACCCTGCCTCAGCTCAGGTATGAAAGAGGCCTAAGGCATCAGAAAAACAAAACCAAAAAAGCCTATTTCTCTCCTACTTCCCACAAATAAATATCACAACAAGTGGAAAGCCACTACAGAGGGCTCTGAAGCTGTAATGTCTGCCACCTCAGAGAAAAACTAGTAAAGACACCTTTTGTTTCCTTGCACTTCACGTCTCGCCCTTCCTGTGGCTCATGCACAGACTGTACCAACACTAAGTATTGTGTTAAAAGAATCCCAGTTCCCAGGACCAAGGCAGAGGCACCCCAGCCTTGCCCCAGAACGCCTCATTGCCTGCGAAGACACACCATGCTACTTGAGGTTCAGCACCCCTCTTCCTCCCGTCACGCAAGGACAAAGTCGCACACGCTGCAGGTGTGTGCTCTCTGCTCGTTAGGGTACCTGGAAGTGCAGTCAGGAGAGGTGAAATGAGGACCAAAAGATGGATGCTGTTGTGGTGAACAGTAGGCCGCATGCTGGCGGGGCTTTATTTGGGTGTCTAGTAACAAATGAACGCGGTGGGAAGATGCAGAGACTGGGCACAGGCAGTTCAAGAGAGGTTTGGGTGGGTTTAGGTTTTTGTTTGGGTGTTTTTTGCCCAGGGATTTGGATTTACATCCTCTTGTTTTTCCAGGAGTTCACCCGCCATGCAATGTCGAGATGAAAAGCACATTATCCTGGTCCTGGAGTTTATAATCCAGCTCACCCTGCAGGCCAAGAAAAAAAAATGAAAAATGGTTTAAATGTCATTTCCAAATACTAGCTGCAAAGAGAAAACAGCTCATAAAAAGATGGTGAGTGTTAGGGAGAGCAGAAGAGGACAGACTGATGTTTTCATCCTAACAGAAGCAGAGGTGAGAGATCAGACAAGGAGCTGACGTTCATTACCCCACACCGCTTTCTGGACCAGGGTTTTGACAGAACAAGTGGTTGCCTGAGGCAGGAAAATAGTTAGGGGCTGTTTGTTGTCTGAGCATAACAGTGAGCTGAAAAGGGAAAATATTTACCAGTTCCTTCTTTGGGCAGAAATCTCCCCACAGCTGCCTTCACCTGCTACGGCACCACCTTACTCAAGCGAAGGGGGTCTGCCTGGGGCCGTGAAGCTGCCCAGCACCCACTAAGTTGTTACCCCACGCGTGGGGGAGACCTGCTAGCAGCAGAGGTGCGAAGCCTGTTGCCAGAGGCCAGGAAATACGGGTGATCTCTCTTCAGACACTGGCTGGCTGATGAGACTCAGTAGGTTAGAGAAAGGCTCCAGGCTTCTGAACAGCCACAGTACAATACAGGGAGAGAGATCCCAGCCTGCCCCTTCCCCCTCAAATACGAGATGCTTCGCTTGGGGCAAGAATCAGAAATAGCTTCTCTGAGAGCATCCACAGAACAGACAGAGCAACATTTTCAACAAAGAAAGTCAAACTGAAGGAGTACAGACCATTAGTTCCCAGTCTGCATCGTTGATGAGCACCAAAATCCCTGGCCTCCTGCAGAACAGAGAGAAATAATTAGGATACAGGGCTGCTAAAAAGCTTCACAAATAGTTAAGAACAAGGGATGTTACAGCACAGATTACAAACTGACTGCCTACAAAGCCAAAGAGAAAAAGGAATCCTAGCACAGAGGTGGAAACAGGTATAGTCTGTGCCCTTTCTAGATCAAATAAAGGGGAGGCAGAAGCAATCCCAGAGCTCATTTGAATCAAAATGCACCGCTCCTGAGGATGCTCCGAGATGACTACATTTCCGTAAGATGTAGAAAAGCCAGGTAATTAAAACCCACGCACTACAGTCGAGCGCAGAGAGCTCGATATGAAGGTAGGAAAAGCTATTCCGGTGCCGCTACCAAAGGCAGTAAACACCCAGGATCCACTCTGAGCCCCTGATTACAGGCAAAGGGATTCCCCCTCTTTGATCTTCAGTGTCCTGCAATTGTCTCTCCTGTTACCAGGGGACCTGGCACACGCTTCAGCTCACAAAGATCCGTGACGAATGTTAAACACCCCCAGCGCCACCCAGCAGTCAGGGATGGCTTGCACAGCTCACTCTGCTCCATTTCTCTTGGCTTTTTTTCCCCCCCCCCTCCACGAGGTTGGCCCCATTTTGACAATAAAAATATATTTCCCAGAAGAAATATTTGTTGGCGTTTCTCCGAGTGACTGCTTCAGTTCCAGTGATGTCAGCAGGGAACGGACAGACCTGCTAAAACTCTCGAATTGAGGATACGTGCGCTACGCTGCTCCATGTGACAACGGAGAGAAAGTCTATGTGGCCCTGCTTCACATTTAAGGTTTAAAGATTTGGGGTGAGGGTTGTAAAAGATGCTCTCCGTGGAACAGTGCGAGGTGTAGTGTGGGACACCTCCCATTATCACTTTAGCAAATCCCGTATTTTCATGGTCATTAACTTGCTTCTTGCAACCAACAGGAAAAACGTATCCCAAACCCTGGGGATCAACAGAGAAACACAAGGACGATTCATAACAGCTGTACTTACACAGATTCCCCTTGCATAAATAATTCTGGTCGTTCTTTCAACAGATTCTGTTTGATCCACTTTAGCAGGTTTCTGATATCCCCTGAAAGGAGAAAGGACAGCAGTTTACAAACTAGCTGACGGCTCCTAGCTGATGCCAGAACACAGGGATTGTTTATCCACAAAAGAGCAGATGAGGAACATGCAGGATGGATGGGGATAGCTGCAAACCTCCAGTCCAGGGAACCACCTAACAGGATTGCCCCTTACCAGCACCTAAGAGGCAGCCCTGCCTCAAGGGAGCTCAGAGCTCAGGGTTCTGCCCTAAACCCCGCGGTTTGGCAGAAGAGGTTTCCCGCAGAAAACGCATCCCACAAAGAATGAATGCAGTTCACGCTGAAGTGCCAATCCAGCAGGAGACTGCGGATGTTCAGATTTCTTTAACACATCCCATGTCCTGTGCTTTCCGTTATCACCTAACAAATTGATGTTTAACTCTGTGTGTTTAATTAGATTTAAAAAGTCCAAACAAGCAAGCCTAAGAACCTGAAAGGAGTAAAGGTAGACACTATCGGTACCAAAACCAGCACAAACTCTTGGAGATGTGAGTCCTGGGGCACAAATGTGTACATAACCATGCATGAAACACGCAGGCAGGCACTGGCCACACTAGTTGTATTTTGGACACTTGCAATATCCCTCGGCATCACACCTGCTGTCGTGGCATGTTCCCCATGCTGTGCCCGCTCCCTCCCTCTACACTTTGTGCTTATAGCTTCTTTATTAAAGCTCAGCCTTTATCTTTCCATTTCAGTAGGTGACAGGAAGGATTTGTCTTCATGTAAAAGGAGGAGGAGACACTGCTGGCGGGTTTTTATAGTATCAATTTTACTTTGTGAGGCAAAAACAATTTCTTTAGTGATAGCATCAGTTAATTTCCTATTGGAGAGGTGAGAAGCGACAGAGGGGGGCAATAATCCGTTACAGGGTTTAGAGAAGCTGACAAATTGCAATGTGGAGTTCTCCTGCATTTGCCTCTATATTTCACCGTTCCACAAACCACTTCATCATTCTGAATCCACAATCAGTTATTCTCCTGGGGCTCCTCTAAACAGCCCTTTGAAAGCCCCTAAAGAGTTTTGCTTGCTTTTGAGGCGTGAGGAAGCTTTTCGGAGGCACAAATCCACCGGTGAGGGCTGGAGCCCCACTCACAGGATGGGACGGCAGGATGGGTTTCCACATCTCCCTCACGTGTGGTAAGCTCACCGTAGTCATGGGGAACCTTTCTGCACACACCTCTCCGAGCCAAAATCAAACTCTGCATAGGATTCCCCATGTGTTTGCTTCACAACCAGCAAAAATAAATGCACTTGTAGTGGCTCAACTCAGCCTTACCCCAGGATTTTACGGGATCGTGGATGCTACCCAGAGCAGAGCTGGGATTCTTCCAAATAACGTTACCCCCATCACTTCTGTCACACCAAGGATGAACAGCCCTGGCGTAGGCAGGTGCACATCAACTAGGCAATGGGGACATGTCCATCTGCAGCAGATGGGGGCCTCTTTTCCCAGGGAAAGGGGGAGGGGGATGATCTGAGATTCCCTCTCTTCCCCCCTTGGTTTCCCAGGGCATCGGTGCCTCTGGATGACAGCCTGCCCCCCGGCACACCACCGCGGGGCTGCCCAGAGCACGACAGGTATTGCTGCCTCCGAGCACTGGATCGCTCTGACCAGGGCAAAAAGAGATGCTTTGTGCCTTAAAACTGCCTGGTGAGCTGGATCACCTCCCTGGGGCTGACCCACGACTCCCTTGTAATGATACGTAGTTAAGAGCACAAAATAGACCATTTTCTGCCGCTTTCCTAGCAACGTGCACCGGGGATGGCGAGTGCTGCTCAGAAGGTTTATATATACCACGCCGGTTCGTCAGCCACCAGAACAAGAGTTAACTATATTTGCCTTCCCCTGAAAAATGCTGCTGCAACGTAAAGCCCTCAGGATCTCACACCCAAATGGCTCCTGCTCTCCATCACCAAGAAATGAAAGCCGGAGAGGAAGAAAGATGGAGAGGAGCCTTCAGGAGAAGGAGGGGGGGACGCAAAGGGGACACCAGCCCCACCGCAGCAACGCCCGCGAGCTGTTTCATATTTATGCACTTGCGGCAGGGCACACAACAATGAGCTGTGCCATATACCATTCTCCTTGCGTGGAATAAGCAGCCCTTTCCTCTGGGACCTTTCAGGAGAGATCATTTAAACAGAAACACGCTGCACCAGCTGGATAAAAGACAGCCACCTAGAAGCAGCCTGGACGAAGGGGCGAGAAGACTGATTTATTCGAGGCTGAGCTGGAAGACTCCCTCACCCCTACTCCTTCCATAATAAATGATATTTTCAGCCCCACCTGAGCCTACATTCATTTACTCCTCCCCAGAAGTCACGTACACATGTACTGTAGAATTTAGACAGTAGGAAAAAAATCTGATACCCCTGTGCATGCCTGGAGCTTCCCCACTCCAAACATCAATGAAAATTAAGACCCCTTCTCCGCAGCCAACCTTAAGACGTAATACTTTCGGCTGCTTTCTCAGCATTGAATTTTTTCCCCCACCTTCATGTCTCTAAGTTCTGTACACCAATATTACTAGAACAAATCAATTGTAAAGGATGAAAAATGACCAGAGCCACACCAAAACCATCTCCCACAAGTAAGATATTGAAAAGGAACAAGATTATTTCCATTGCAAGTGGTCTGGGGAGAAGCCATCTTGCAGCTCAGTGCCTCGAATAGCAGTCTCGATCAATAGCTCAGGACTCTGCATGTTATCATGATGGAAATAATAAGAGGTAAATTATAGCACAACCACTTATCTCTTACAGTTGACATACGTAGCATTCCTAAGACATTTTCTTTCTGATACTACGCTACGGGTCTAACAGGTTTCCAGCTCCCTGGGCTGAGGATTTGCTATGCAAACAGCAGGTCCTCTACAAATGACATAGAAGGAGAGAAAAAAATTTCAACCTGGTCAGGCACCACATCTGCTGACAAGTTAAACCGTCACTACGACGCAGCAATTTTACACTCATGTTGGTTCTCAAGTTGGCCGCCATCACAAAACAGAGGCATTTGCTCTTTGCAGGAGCAGAGTTGTACTAGACGTGCTGCCATTTGGCTGCAAAAGCAACCATGCATTTTGGCCCAGGAGTGAGGTTCAGGTGAGAGCTGAGACAATACAGCATTTTGCTCCCACGTCACCAACTCAAGTCCAGCTCATCCCAGAAATGATATATTTTTACCATTGCTGCACGGTCTCAGTGAAATTCTTTTGGTAGCCTACTCCATTTCATTCACAGCAAACAAATACCCACACCAAAAATCCACTCTAGTTATTGTTAACTGTCCTCACCATTGGCAGCATCAGCAGAGAAGCCAGAGCGAACCGGCCAAGGAAGCTGAAATATTCTCAAACTGCAAAGGAGGGACTGAAGCACATGGTAGGAAATCCCCATCTCATTTGTATACAGAGACAGCTTCTGTTGCCTGTGCTAACAGTACATCAAACCTCTCCAAATTCTCAGGAAAAATAATGTAAAGTTAATTAAAAAAAAGAAAAACCGACAAACGTTTGAGAAAACTGCTTCATTCAAGTGCACAGATGGGAGCTCAAATCCACAATACATGCATAAAACAAATCACCCAGCGAAACACACAGCTCAGGAAAACGAAGTGTGTGCTTGGAGTGACACAAAGTCATTGGCTTGTCACGCAAGCGGACAGGATGCAAAAACTGCAGCGAGCGTGCATACAAAAACCCAACAGCGTCGGCTCATTTTCAGCCCAGCTGCATCATAAACACTCCTGGTTGTGGCAGACAGAACTGCACAGTCTGCTCAGTCCTCTTGCATATCCTCCAAGGCCTGATCTTTTGCATTACCCCAACTGTTCCTTGATGAAAAATCTGCTGAGCTTCCTCTGCAAGGGAAATGCATCTAGGACTCCATTTTAGCACTGCCTGGAACAACAGCCCAGGTTCATTTGCACCCTCAAAACCAGGGCAGAAATCCATAGATCTTTCCCAGCTCAATAAAACCTCCTGGGCCTGACAGATTCATCAGTGATAACTCAGCAAAGGGGGCACTTGCTGTGTGCAGAGAGAAACCAGGTGCCTCAAATAAGAAACATGAAGCTGGGTGTTGCACTAGAAGGATCTCACAGAACTGGTAAATGTGCAGAAATGCAGAAGGATTTTGCTCAACCGTAATACCAGTTGACACGGACACGCAACTCTTGGCTCCCAGGGAGCTGCATAGGTCGCTGGCAGATTCACACACTCACATACAATGACCAGACACCTCCGTGTCCCCTGCCTTAAAATCCACATACAAACCTGCACAAAGCAGACAGTGCCTCGAAGGGCACCCAGAGGGTGTAATTACACCCATATTCTTGCCTTGGCTGCAGAACTGGGAGCTTATTTCGGGGAAATAGGGGAACCCTATAAAGGCCGAACCATGGAAAATTCCCTTCTGGTCCGTAATAAATAAGATATATGCAGCACTGGTCACTAAGGGGTCAGTGCTGCAAGAGCACTGCACTTTCCCGGGCCGCCTTGCGGATACCTCCCTGTGGGGTACCATTTCTTTGACCCAGAATAAGATCATTTATCATACTGACCATGGCTGAGCTCCAATTTGCTGAGGTCACTAACTCTGGACGAGCGCCGCTCCACCCACATTCTCAGCCACCGGCCTGTAACCATGACAAAGCCCCTTCCCTGCCGCTCCTCTGCCATTATTCCCCCTGCCTACATCGAAATGTATGGAAAGACAATTTGTATCCCCCTTTTCTCTTTTTAAAAACAGCTTGTTTTTAAAATAGACCAGCTCCTGATACCTGCCGCCCCTCCAGGTGAATGCCTTCTCTCTGCTTTTGAATCCGACGGCCCTCCAGGAATCTGCTCTCTAAAAGAGCTCGTTACAAAACCTGACCTAAGGGATCCTTCAGACTCCTCCAGCCTCCCATCTGATATGCAAATCATTCACTGAAGCAGACGATGGTGTGCCATAAACTGCAGAAGAAGACCTGGAATAGCTGATATAA